TTCGTCGCGCATTTTTTTTTTTTTTATATATGTTCAGCGATTATTCTTTAACACGGTGTCCGATTTTAATGATTCTTTTTTGTTAAAAAGGGGGTACTTTAGGGGTGGTCCCATATAAATTTATTTAAAATCTAATAATTGGGTCCATGAGAAAATCCTCAAACTCTTCATTTTTTATGTATGTTTAGCGATAATGCTTTACCACCTTGTCCGATTTACATGATTCTTTCTTTGTTGGTAAGGGGATACCTCAGGGGTGGTCCCATATAAATTTGGTTAAGATGTGGTGATGGCATCTGCATGTTTTTGAAGTCAGTTTTTTAAAATTTTTAATTTCTAATACTTGTTATTAACCGACTTCAAAAAAGGAGGAGGTTCTCAATTCGTTGCGATATTTTTTTTATGTATGTTCAGCGATAATTCTTTAACACGGTGTCCGATTTCAATAATTCTTTCTTTGTTGGAAAGGGGGTACTTCAGGGGTGGTCCCGTATAAATTTTTTCAAAATTTAATAATTGGGTCCATGAGAAACTTCTCAAACTCTTCATTTTTGTATGTATGTTTAGCGATAATGCTTTACCACCTTGTCCGATTTATATGATTATTTCTTTGCCAGTAAAAGGGTACCTCAGGGGTGGTCCCATATAAATTTGGTTAAGGTGTGGTGATGGCATCTGCACTTTTTTGAAGTCGGTTTTTTTAAATTTTTAATTTCTAATACTTGTATCTTACGTTAAGTTTCTATAGCGTTAAGTTGGGTTAAGTTACAGAGGTTATAAATTATACTTAACACCTGCGTATGGTTCCTTAAGACTATTCACTGGTCCATAGAACTTTCACGAGGTCTGTCTTCTGTGTTTCGGAAGAAGTTTTGACGATTGCCAGAACTTCAAAGCCAGTAACCAGCCCTTTGAGAAGCCTTAAAACTTCAAGATGGGTCGAAATAACTTTTCTATTTGGTAACTGAAGTACTGAAGTTCAATGTACAGAAAAGATAGATAACAACCAGCTGAATCGGAGAATAAATAAATACTAGTCTGCAGCCGTTTTTCTAATGTCCAGGTTTCAGCAAAAACGGTGTCTTGTTATTTCCATAAAAATGCATATTGAAAAAGTGGGTCCAGTTGCAGATACAGCCATTCAGTTTTAGTTCCAGGAGGAACTATCTCTTAAGGAGGAGTCAATGTTGTGCGATCGCTTGAAACCGACTATCTACTCTATTTACCTTTACCACGTTGGACATCGCTGTTTGTCAATATTGAATACTTGAAAAAGTAAATAGAATATTTCTTGCACGCAGGCAACGCGAGGAAGAACTACCCTGGGTTGGTTCTTTCTAGCGTGTTAAATTTTTATACAAAGAGCGCGACTTTTATAGAAGTTAAGTTTAAATATAAATGTTGTCAAGTAAAGATAAATTGTTAAAAAAATCAAAAGTGTGAATTAAAATAGAGCCTAAATGTAAATAAATTTATTAGTAACTGCTGTAAATAAATTAAAAATAAACTATTTTTAAATTAAACAATCGTTACACTATTATAATCGAACATCCAGGTTCATTAACAGGTATTTTACTATATTATAGTGTAACATCTTCTTAATATTTATAATCATTATTTGTCTTATTTTCTTTAGTGTATGTATGTATTCTTGAATCAAAGGCAGTAGAAATTTTGAGAGATGAATGAGACAAAATACCAATTTTGTACATTGTAGACAAAGAAAAGAGCCGGTATTCTATTTCCTCGAACTTAATAATAGCTATCCATTTACATTATTACATGTCTGTTGGAGTTTATCTACAGTCTCATCGTTATCATGCCTCACTGCTGGGATAGTTGTATTAGCAGCATAAGTAACGATCGTCACATGTTCGGTATTTGATATAACAGGCACAGCACTGGTCCTAGCACGCTGCCTTGGGATACACCTGCGTTAACTCCAGAAATATGTGTAAAATGTTAATTTAACTAAGTACTTAAAAGTGCTCTACATTTAATTTCATTAAATCTCTTTGTTTTGAATACATGTTTTAACAAATTTTGTTAGAATTTGTGTTTACTGTCTTTACAGTGACAGACCTGCAGTTTGGCTCTTGCTGGACAGTTGCCTAATAAAAGAAAGTACAAATTTGACTAACCGAAATAAAAAAGAAAGGTGGGATGGATGCTGTAAAAGCAGTGAGGCTCTGGTCCATGTTTACGGTTTGAGTGGGTGACTGAACTTGCACAGCTCGAAGCTCACTTAGACTGTAGAATGAATGAAAGAAAACATAAGCTGAATGCATAGGAAAAAGTAAAATATCCAAATTGCTGAACAGCAGGCCTGATTAATATGCTGGAACCTCTTAGGGGGAGCAGATGGATGCTTGAAAGAGTAAAAAAAAACAAAATGAATAATTTGAGTTTTTCAAATATGACTGAGGTTAGTGCCATCTCTCCTGCATAAAGCTACCACTAGATAATTGGTAGTAATCGTTGTAACCTAATTTTTGAGAATAAAATTGTCGAGCATATATTACTTGATTCATATTTTATTTTACTGTGATGCTAATATATTTTTTTTACATTTTCAGACAAATTAGGTACAGAATACATCGCCAGAGGATGTGTTCCCCTAGGTACTGTCAGTTGTGCTGCCTTATCTAAAGCCGTCGGATGGATTTCCTACCAAAGAAATGGCGATCCTGAAGTACTACAAAATTTGACCTGCAAAACCTGTGAAACAGACAAATGTAACTGGGCCACCTAGTTGGCCGGGTTTACACTTGTTGAAATTTTATTATCGTCTGCCGCTTTCATGTAGCTTTCATGTAGCTTTCATGTAGCTTTCATGTAGCTTTCATGTAGCTTTCATGTAGCTTTCATGTAGCTTTCATGTAGCTTTCATGTAGCTTTCATGTAGCTTTCATGTAGCTTTCATGTAGCTTTCATGTAGCTTTCATGTAGCTTTCATGTAGCTTTCATGTAGCTATCGTGTAGCTATCGTGTATCCATCGTGTAGCTTTCACGTAGGTTTCATGTAGCTTTTATGTAACACTTTCATGAATCTTTCATGTAGCTTTTCATGCTTTCGTGTTTAGTTAATTGTTTTGTGTTACTCTGCAATTTTTAGCTCTGTCTAGAAAAACAAAAGCAAATAAATTTTATTAATTTCTATTCATTTATTTATTCCTACGCCACTCAACAGAAACCAATTGCTGAGTGAAAGTAATCACAATATAAAAACTAGCGCACAAAGAAAAATATTGTAAATATTCAGTTGAAAAAGAAAAAAATACAGAGCTTAGTTTAGACAGATAATATGTATATATGTAAAGCTATTCTTTTATCTACTATGAAATAAGTCAAGCTGGTCACTGAATTTATTACAAATATGACAGTTTGTAAACTGGCGAATTAAATAAAATATTAGTTCACGAGTCAGTAGTTAAAATAAATCAGTCGTGCGAGAAGTTTAGCGTGGAATCAGAAAGTTCATATTTCCAAAAAGGGCTGGATCATACATAATATTGTTTCATAACTTGTACGTAAAGATAACAGCATAGCATTGTCGACGAGCACTGAGACTTTTCATTCCATGATTCATAAGCATAGCCCTCAGAAGGTCTAGATACCGCATCGTAAAAACATTTTGACCCCCCCATATGATGAGCGCCATGATAAATAAATGTCAATAAATTTTAAGTTGGCACTACTGACAAGACAGAATCGGCGCAAGTTTAGTAATAAGCGTAAGAACGGCGTTCGACGTATATAATCGATTTTATCTGTTGTGTTGTTTATTTTGTTTTTCTAGTAAAGGTTTTATTTAAAACATTATTTTTTAGTTTAGTCGTTTAGTGTTTTATTTTAATAAAAAACATTTGTGGTTTGGTGTTAAATTTTTACAGGATTTTCAAAATCTCTTTTTGTTTTGTACGTGAATGTAACAATGCATCTAACGGTAGAAGATACAAGGAAGGAATAACATTTCATGTGTAAGTTTTCACAAATATTTGTGTATTTACAAAATCAAATAATTTGTATGTTTTGTTGTAGCATACAAAAAAATGTTAGGAAAGAATAACTGATAGCCATAGGAAGACCATTGAATCATTTTGTGACTTTAGTATAAGCCCAGAAAATTTGGGGATACTAGCTGAAACGGCAAATGTGTTATTGGCTCCTTTTTAGTGACCTATTGTACAATTTTTCCAACACAAGTTCCATGATCCTTTGAATTTGGCTGCACCGTACTGATAATAGTCAGAAAAACGTGTCGACCGTTACTCTTCTTTTTTACTTTTTTTTATTCGGAAAATGTCCACTATTACTACCTTGATACAATAATATTAGTTCCGTTCTAAGTAGGTACATATTATAGTTTGTATGTTTTATGCTTTATTTTATTATATGTAATAAATGATAGGAAATATACTTTTATAGTAAATAAATTGATTAAAGCAATATGTAAGAATAAGTTTATCTAAGGATTAAATTGTTAAAGCAATTTTTCATATCTATTGTTTATTAATTTGTTTCATTTAATTCTTTCTTATTGAGTAAGTTATTTCATATAAATATGCGATACTTGTAAAATGTAATATTTTCTTTTAAATAGGTATATATTATGTTCGTATAAAATATTGTTCAGTTAATAAAAACAGAAATATTTTGTCTTTTATTCAAAAGAAGTTTGTAAATTTTTCAAAATATATTTACCTACCCCAAAAAAAGATTAATAAAACCAGTTAGTCATATACACATTTTCTATATATTTATAGAGGTACTTTTTAAATAACTTTCAATACATTCGAAATCTGTGGTTTTATTAAACTCAATGTTACAAATAATAATAGGTCTTCTCAAAAATATTTAAAAATAAAATCGAGATGGGACTCTTGTATAATTTAGTGACTATTCGCCTATGGTTAGTGCATTACTGTATGTCCCTGGGTTTTCTACATTAGAACAATACTGCTTCTCCACTCTAGCAGTATTTTTTGCATCTCAGATTATATTTATTAAAAAACCAAGGAATTGTTTTGGGCCTATTGCTGGGCCCTTTTCCAACATTCCCAAAGTTTTTTTTTACTTTCTGCTGATTGGATCTCCGATAGCGACAACTCCATTTGCTGTTCCACTAGTTTTTTATCAAATTTTTAAAATAACTTCTATATATTTATCTTTTGCAATGACTTTGCTTACCTGCTTCATGATCTCTTCCCTATGCCCCAATTTCTATAACAGGTGAGATCTTATACTCGCTCTATTAAATCAAATTATAATTATAGTTTATTTGCTTGGTAGCACAGTTTTTATGGCAAAGGTCCATATTTTTATATAATTTTGATATTATTCATTTTCAAATAAACTATAGGAATAGGAGTAATCTATTAGTTTTCTAAAAATACCTTGTTACCGATGTAAGTACATCTTTCCCTAGTTAAAAAATTCGAGTTTTTATTTTCATAATATAATATAAATAAATGACCGGTTAACAATCACATTCTTTTAAATAGTACATTTGACATTGAAGTAGGTATTTTCTCAATATTGCCAAACAGAAACAGATGGTTTACTTGTAATTTGAATTATATTACATAAATCTCACTGAATTTCTCTATAATTCTCATAGCAATATGTACACAAACCACTTATCCAATAATATATAACCATGTAAAAATAACATTTCAAGAACGAAAAATTTTATAAAACCGGTCCTGTCTGAACAGATCTAGGAAAATGAAATAGGTTTGTCAAAGTTTTGTTCTTAATTTGAAATTAGAAATTGTGCGTCTCACTCACTTATAACTAATAACAAAGTGCAGATTATCGGTGTTCACGTATTACAGAACACACAAACTAAAAATCAGTGTAGCCAAAACATAAATTTACCTAACATGGCGACAAGCTTGAATGGGGTCATTTTTTTGTATTGACAGTATACGCCAAGCGGTATCTAGACTTTCTGAGGGCTATGTTCATAAGTAATAATTCTTGTGCCGTAGGTACCTCTGGGAGAATATATTCCTTTATTTACGAATGATAAGTACTTTATGAAGCGTCTTTTAACATATTTAACATTATCAATGTTTACCGAGAATAGGGATACCAACCTATAGATGCATACTCTAATTTATGCATCAAATAGGGTTTTTAATGTCGAATTGTGTTGAAAATCTCTGCCATTACGTATTACGAAGCTATAGACTCGATTCGCTGCACTAACAATATTTTTAATGTGAGCTATGAAATTTAATTGTTTATCAGACGTCAAAGTGTGGCTAATTGGTTCCTACCAGAGCCATTCAACTAATTTAAAAAAAAATCATTTAATGTTAAGGGCCTTGGAATATGGATGTATTATGGGAAAGGATTTCAACGTATAAGACATAACATTGCATTAAGATGTAATTTTTTATAAGAAAGACATTTTAATACACTATTTAGAGTATTAGTTAACCGAACACAGTCGTCAACATTTGTTATTTCACAGAATGAAAAGAAGTGCAATGTCACCCATCACACTATAGTGTGCTGCGGCCGTTATAAGTAAAAGTACAAGTAAAAGAAGATGGAATAGTCCAGAAATGTCTGGAAATGTCATTAACCGTCAAGAATATTCTAGATGACAGTTCGAGAAGGGTCAAGCAAGCTATATAAGGATGATCCTGACGTCAGTTTTCAGTTTTATGATAGACGTTACACGTTAATCAGAGATTAGAGACATAAAGATAGGAAACGCAACGACCCCAATAACGATGGCGTCATCTATGCGTCTCAGATGTTAACTAAAAATGTACATCGTTTACAGACAGACCAGTGTTGCCAAATATTTTTTTTAAGAGATCGCACAAGTAGAGTAGAAAAATGGTATTTCGACAAAAAAATCGTAAAATAGGTTTATGTTTAGCATTATATAGCTTAAATAGAATGAATAAATAAAAAAAAACTTTGGCATGACAATTTGTTTATCTATTTATAAAAATGTTCACAACAAAAAAAACTAAAGAAAATACATGAAACTTCAAATTAACACATAAAGTAATCAATAACTGTCACTTGAAAGTGATTGAAATTTTGCATGCAAGCTTTTCTTATGCCGTGATAGTTTGTGTTGGTACAAAATGATCATGGTCAAAATCACGATAAGTGAGAACGAAAATAACTGCCTTCAGTAATTACGAACGGCCTATGAATCTTTGAAAGTAGTTTTTGATTTTTATTGTTTTATGTTGTGAAGTTGTTGCAGATATTTAAATAAACCCAATAAAAATGTGAAGATCATATTTTTACGTACGATTTCACTGATGCAATCGTACAGAGAGATAAAAAATCTTATAAATACGATTTAAATCGTATAGTTGGCAACACTGAGACAGACAGTAGACGTGGACAGCAGTGGACAGTGACAGTTTGTAAATGTAAATGGCAGTTAGTTTTATGTATATCGAAGGATCCTGAATTTAAATTTTAAATTTTGAGTTCATGATTGTATTATCCTGTACATGGACTAGGTGAAATGGTTGTGGCTATTTTTGTGTGAAATTTGAGGACAATAATTATATTTTGTAATATTACAATAAGTTGGAGAAGGTATTGCATTAGTAACACATGCCACATGAATAAATTTAACAACTTCAATATGGCGTTCTTTAATTAACCAAAGTAAGATCTAGTCATGTAAGCAATAAAAATATGAACCAACTTTTATCACAAAGTAGATATTTATGTATTATTTATTATTTTAGAACAAGAATATGGCTC